ACTATGGAAGTCTTAGATCATGGAACTATTAAGGACAGTGATAGTTGAGTAGCTAGCATACAGTTCTCAGATAGTGAAGGATTCCGGTTCATGTCTGATTCCAACATATTGGGGGCGGGGTGGCCGAGCAGGCTAACGCTTGTGCACAGCAACGTGCATTGCCTGGTAACCTGATAACCGAAGTTTTACGATAAACAAATAATTACAAGTTCAAATCCCGGTGGCCAGAGGGATTTTTAACTCAGCAAAATTCCTCTACCCTCTTCTCCGGCCCAGGAAAAACCCCATTTAGCCTAAGAGGCAAAGAAGGGAAGACCAACAAAAAAAAAAATCATGGAACTAGTTCTACATTAGTTTCTTCATTACAAAGCTTCATCCTCAGGTGTTAATAGAAAACTAAATCAAGCTATATCTAAAATTTATACTTTTATGCCTAATCTAACTTGTTTTAATTTCCTTCAGCACCTGAATATGAAAAATTGAAGCATGACTGATAAGAGCCAATGTAAGGGTAGGAATTAAAAGAATAGTTTAACTAATTACTTAATATTCACACAATAACTACAATGACAGGATACTTATTTATTAATTTAGATAAATATTAATTTATTTATAAAAGATTCTACATGATTAAAACTTAGACGAGATCTAACAAATAGGTTTCTGCCTAATATAAATTTATATCAAAGGTCTATAGTAAATTCTAGAAATCATTTTTTTTTTAATTTAGTAACTTTTGTACAGTCATCCTAGAATGGCAAATGAAAATCAAATCAAACGATCCCTAAAAATATTACTTTTCTGCCTCATCTAACTTGGTTTGAATTCCTTTATCACCTTAATAGGAAATGCTCAACTATGCTCAATACAATTCAGCACTCAAATGTGTAGAAAAATCTTATCTGGATTTGTATCAACATGAATTGTAAAATACCTTAATCACTTCTTTTTTTGAATCTCCTATTACAAAAGAATGGGTGAAAGTGACAACGAGATGGTAGTCAATGCAACATAAATCCTTATAGTAAAACCTTATAATTAATGTTTTTAGTTATACACATGACTTAACCGAGAACCAAGAATGACTATGGCAACTACAAAAAAAAAAAAAAAAAAAAAAAAAAGAAAAAGATAAGAGGATGATCAACTTTTGTTAAATAAAAATATTATAATATGTTTCAACAACGATGTAAGTATTTAACAACAGTATTGAAGCATTAGACAGATAAAACAGAAACTTCAATAATTCACAAAATATTTCTAATTGAATTTCCAAATTTACCACATTTTGAATGATTTACGATCAATATAAAACCATGTCGTCAATCCAATATGCTTCTATAGGCCAGAAATATGTAAATGGTTATTCTTAAACTAAAAAAGATAATATAAACAGAATTATGTGATACGTTATTTTGTGTGAAGCATCTCCTTTAATTATTAAAGTAATTCAGTAAGAGAATAAAATGTAGTCATAGTATTTTATCAAAGTTAAATAAATTTGTATTATTTACAATTTCAGATTTTTATACAAATAAGTATAAACTATACCTAGAAAATTTTTATGATTTTTCAATGATTAACTACTATTACAAACAAAAGATAAAAAATGATGCTAAGATATAAGATAATGTAAAAGATACAGAAGATTAATTCAGAAAAATAATATATTATCAAAAACATTGAACAGAATCAAGTTGCAGACTCTAATATTTTATTTTTTTGCTACCAATTTATGCAGTGAGTAAAGGTCAGAATTGTAAATCCCAATTTTTTAAATTTATAAATGAGAGATTAATATATAATCTGAATAAGGATTCAGAGTTTATATTTACATCATTTCATGTAAATATGTACATGTAATCATGTAAATACTCATATCACAATTCTGGACTTTTCTTTCTTAATGAGGAAAAAAGAATTCAGAAATTGCATTTACACAAAGTCAAAAAGTAATTAATCAAATATTTAGTCGAATAAAAGGAACCCTTTCTTACCAATAAGATCACAATATTAACAATATTTACTACAATAAAATAACAAACATCATTAGCATTTAATATAAAACTCAAATTAGCAGCAGTGCAGTGGAAGCTATTAAAAAAATATGGTGGCTTGAAAGTGGAATTGGCTCTTGAATCTAAAGAATGTTACCAACACAACAAAACCATTTCAAATTAAATTGATTATGCTAACTCAAGCATTAAAGCTGTATCAAATATTTAAAAAAACAGTTACATTTTATAATATTTCACAATAAGATAGTATGCTATTTCCTTTAAATAGAATATTTAAAAAATGGAATAAAAAATAAATTGAGTTCCAGCCTATGAGTGCTAAATTTTGAAAAGAGAATTTTTTCAACATGATACTTGTTTAAAAAATATTTAAATTGGTAAATAGATAAGGAAGTTATTATTATCTAACTTTCATATTAAATAGTTAGTAATAGGTTTCAGAATAATCAGGATTATGTCCTACTCAATAATTTTTATTTTACTCCTTAAAAAAATGTTTGGTGAAATTAAATTTCTTTGCAACTATGTAAGTTTTAAAAAAAATATTATTAAACATATTGGGGACTGAAGGACTGTAACATTTTTACTTTATTTTCCTTTTTACATTATGTGCAGTTCTCAATATCATATTAAATGAGTGCAGAATGCATCTGGGTCTATATGAAAGACTGTTTTCGGCACTCCATGAACAAGTGTAACAGAAGTGATTGTGAACCACGCGTAACCCGTGCGTTTATCATCCAAACAATTACCATAAATATTATTATGGTCACACGCGTCTCTCTCTAAAGGCGCCTCTGCACAGTATTTTAAAAGTAATGGGTATGTTCAAAAAATCAGCGCTGAGCTCATTGATGGCATCGGATCCGTCTGTGAAGTGCTCGAAATAATGCCATCGAGGCGCTCAGCGCTGAGTTTAGGAACTGGAGTGATATATGGTTAAAGTAATACAATATGCAATATTTGATTGCGTTGTCAATTATTAAAATGCTATATGTCATAAAATTACGGAATCATTAAATAAAGTAGTGAAATTATTAATTTCGAAACATTTTAATATTAATAATATTTAAAATTACCATTCATTAAAATGTGATTATGTTATTAAAATTTATTAAGTTGTGTTTAATTTATCATAGGTTTGGAAATAGCATCTTAAGTAAGTCCTAACTCACTTTATTCACCGTTATAAAAACTTTTCCAGGCGTAATATCTTTCTATACTGATATATTTTATACATATATGTAATTTGGTGACAAACGTAAGTTGAAATAGAACTGAATTCATCCTTCCGTCTTCTGTAATTACGCATTTTCACTCTCATTGCATCCAAAGAGCAAATTTTTAAACTGAGCGCTGCGCAAATGTATGGCATGGGATTCGTCGGTAAACAATACGAAAAAATTACATCGATGAGCTCAGCGCTGACTTTAGGAGCTTGCCTAAATTCACTACTTTCAAATAATTATAAAACTCGATAAAGCGTAAATGAACTTAACAATCTTAGCTATTACTTTTGTATCAAAGAAAAAGGCGCTTTTATATTATTATAATAAATGAAATTTCCTAGTCATATCTATAAAATAAATGCTAAGTGAATCATACCCTGTAACCTACTTTCGCGGTCAACTAGCACAGTCATTAATAAATGTTTATATTTCATTATATATAAATAATAAAAATGTTTATATCTTATTATATCACCAAAAAAATTCCACTCATGAAGTTATAAAATATAAATTTAAAATTTATAAATTGAATTTCTTATTGTTTGAAAACTTATTTGGATAGATTGGCGGGCTGTTGAATTGGAATTCAGAGAACAAAAACGAAAATGGTTGATGATTATGAAAGGAACATTTGTGTTGTTACATTAAAGAATTATTGGTAATTTCATGGCTTACAATAAAACTACTTTTAGTTATAACCTTAGTTCTTATACTATTAAAGTTTAAAGCAGCAGGCAGGCAATCGAAGCTCTTGAAATAAATTAATTGAACAGTTATTTCTTTAATCTAAAAATTATGATTTCATTGTCTCCCTATTTCTAAATATCTGTCATTCCTGTTATTTTGAACTAATAAAGGTTTATTTAGCCTTAGATTTCTGTAGAATATAGTTTAAAAAGCATTCATAAATGTTAACAACACAATATTGTGTATTTGTTGATAAATTACTCTATTTATATAATTACTCCATAGAATATTGTAAAATTTAATTTTATGTAAAGAAGCAAGTTGATATATATTGTTCTTAGAATTATGTCTCAAGTAAGATTTTTAAAAAAATAACTACTTTAAAAATAAGTAACTACTTAATAAATATATTATGTCTTAGTATTACTACTTCAATAATACCAGTTTTCATTTAAATTATTGGGTTTTTTAATCAGATACTATTCATTTGTTTGTTTTCAAGTACAGAGTTGTATTATTTTGTCAATGTATGGCAGTGATAGTTATCTAAAATAAATTAAGTAAGTGTAATCAGGAGACAGTTCAGTGGAAGTGTTTCACTGGATTATTCTCATGGAACATTTTTCCCCAGAATAAAGATTATTTTTCATTAATTTTCTTGCTAAAAATCAACAATGTGACGGCCACCACTTTGTGGTGAGGGTCCTAAGGAGCATGATTTGGAATAATGTGGGTTCGATTCCAACCCATCAGATAATATTCATGGTGGTTCCAAGGAAGTTGTCACTCCTTCTCAGGTTAATAAGATGCAACCTTCAGCTGCCAGTGGTTGAAAAATGTTACACTAGTCAGGCAAATGCGCCCCACGAAAAAAATAAATATTTGTTGTGTAACAAAAACCAATAGCAAATTATCAATTAAGAAAGAAATATGAATTGTTTAGGTAAAGAATAATTTATGAATTAATTTTTCACCAGTTTATTTATGAAAGTGACAAAAGTATTACAAAAGATATATCACAAATTAAACAAGAACATATACATACAAAGATAAATAAATTTATTGGTAACTGTCAAATAACCTAATGAAATACAATTTCAATACATTTAATAAGGGTAGGGGTGTTGTTATTAACTAGTAGTTTCACTGGTGAAAAAAATTAGTTACTATTGATACAAACTTTTTTAAAAAGAAAATGTCAAGACCGCACTCTCAAAAAAGTTTTTTGTTTGATGAAAATATGAATCTTGACAAAAGTTACTTGTATTTTTATTCAATTTTCTCCAAAACAAAAAAAAAACTTTCATAAAAAGAATTACTTTTAAATAATATAATAAGAAATCAACATTATTCTCTATTTTAGCCAACCAGAAATATTAGATTTTAACTATACACAGCCAAATTTTTAAACATATTTTCAAAAACACAGCCTTTTTATATTTAACAAAAGATTAAACATGAAGCAGTGTATGTATTTATTAAATATTGGTGAAAATATGAAGATTATTTCATGCTGATTTAAAATTTGTTTGATGAAATTATTGCTCGGTAACCAGTAAATCTTAAGGAATGTTAAATAATGTGATATTATAATTGGTTCTAGATTTCATTATAATTAATGTACAATTAAATATATTTTGTTACAAAAACATGTACTTTTATAAAGACATCAGTAATAGTTGCGATTTCTTATTTCTAGTAAAAATTTACTCCTGTCGAGTAAAACTCAGCAACTGAAAAGGAGGAGTGCGGCCATCATCCATCTCAAATTAATAGCAACTGCATCGATCAGCTGGACATTGGGATGGATATATGATACATTTGTCCTGGCAGTAGACGTCCGCTCCCTTTCTACCTTTCAATTCACCGATTGCATCGCATTCCTCTCTGAAATTAGAAAAGTAAGTTTCAATTTATTATGGAACTAGAAAATTACAGTTAATTATCATGTGAGGTGAAGTGAAAAAATATGTACGTGCTCTCAGTGGTGTAATATTTGTCCGAAAGTACAAAACATGCAGTATCAGTTTTCATTTTCTGAGAATACCCCACGGCTGGGTGCTCCTCCGGGGAGTTCCTGAGTTCGAGACTAGCTATGGATAGGTAATCATTCATTCTATTTCATCAGCCGTGAATTGACCCTGGATTCAGCAGACCTTTCTAATGCACAGCCAGCCTCTTAAAGTGGGTACTCTTAATTAAATCATAAATTATGAGGAAAAACCTGGTGGTTGACCAAGATCTCGGTTAACTCACTTCCTTGTACAACAATTGACCAACAAATAGTACTTTCTTACATTATCCTGAATCCCAGGCTTCCAATGGATCGTAGTGGTACAAGTTTTATTGAAGAAAAAAAAAACCTGTACCACTACAATCCATGAAGAGACTTGGGTTCAATACTATGTGAGAAAGTACTGTTACAAGGACTGTTGTACAGGGAGCTGATTGGGCTTAGATCACCCTCAACAGCCAGGTTTTTCTCCCTTTATTAATTATTTAATTAAGAGTACCCTCTTTGTGTAGGCTGTGTATGCCCCAGGAGGGTCTCCCGACATCAGGATTTAAGTTATTATGACATTCAATAAAGTACTGGGTTAATCAGAATATATAATCGATAATGCAAACTCAGTTTTCTATTATTTCTATCATACCAGTTTGGTAATTTGATTTTCTGTCTGAATGCTTTTGTCAGTGGAAGAAATAATTAGAAATATTATGACTAAAAATTTTATTTTTTAGCCTTCATAAATTCAACTGTTTTTGAAAATATGTATGCACATTGCCTGATTCATAATAATTTTCTTCTTCTCAAGGAACATAAATGTGCTCATTATTTAACAGATTCCTAATCTGTAAAATTATGAAAAGAAAGTATCTAGAGAATGTTTTGACAAGATCCATTCCGAACATTACAATCTGGATGTTGATTAATATTCAATAATAATTGGAAATATTATATTGGAAATTTAAAAAACAAAATAGACAATTGGCATTAATTAAAGAAAAAAATAGAAATGATAGGAGATATAAGAAATAAGAAATAAAAAGCATTGTATACCTTGAAAGATTCAAGGTAATATGCTAGTGTGCTAGCAAGAATATATGGTGTAGCATGAGTGTATGCTGAATGAATATAAAAGATAAGACACAGTATTGTTGAAATTGAAAGTATGATTAGTAAAAACTTTTTAAGAAGTTGAATAAAGAGCTTAGCTGTTTAAAAAGAACAAAATATTTTGATGCTCAACTCTCAAACCATTTCAAATACCTTCCACCAGTACATTTTCACTAAAAGTACAAAAAGTATTGAATTTAAAATTTAATCCAAAAAGCAAATATCATCCAATGTTATTGAAACAATAAGTTTTTATAGGAATAGATGGATAGCTATTCAAATTCCAATCCTGCATCTGGTTTTGAACAGTAGTGATTATGCACTTTTGCTGCTGATTTCATTTTATGAAAATACACCGCATGTGGGTGCATATTTTTTATAATATAAAATTACACCAACATTGTGTTATTGACCATTCACAAAACAACTTCTAGATGATTGAATTTAGAATCAATTATACTCCTTTAAATCTAAAATGTTACGGAAGGCTAATGGAAGTTGCAAAAGTCTACCCTACCATTTATAATCCTCTGGAATTGGGAGAGATAGGGAACACAGAACGTCCTATTAAAAGAACCATCTGAGGAGAAAGAAAACAGTTTCCTTACAGAAGGATCATCTGCACCGAGAATGTTAATTGTAGTTATTAGAATTATATCGTATCCTTGATAATATAGATATCCATATAGAAAAGATTATCTCCTCCACATTTTTCAACTCTTTTTCTCTCATATGTTCCTTCATTAGGACCTTGATATGTTATTTTACATTAGTCATAAAGTTCGAATATTTGATCAATCAAAGAATGGTCCCACAAATAAAACTTATAAATAAATGTTTGTATTTTTATTATTTATTTACTATGGACCTATATTATTTTTTCAAAAGCAACTAAAAAATTATTAGAACTTTTTTTTTAAATTTTCAATGAAACTTGTATGTGGTCATGCAGAAAAATCCTTTCAGGAACTTTAACAATGTTATGAAATCACTAGCAAATACACATATTTTCATTCGCTAAACTTAAGTTGTCATAATAGCTAGGTAAAACTTTTTTGTTACTCACGGACAAGTGCAAAGTTCTTCTGGACAGTTTGGAGGATACCGGAGACAGTTTTCTTGACACCACTGTTTCAATCCAGGTAGGAACCGATATTTAGTTTGAGGAACACAAACTTGAGATCTGAAACGAATTGGTATATTTACATTATCATAAAAATAAAATATGGTATATTAATAATTTGCATTGCATAATTTAAGACAACTCAGAATTGTCTATACAAAGTAAAGAATATGCCAAATTCAAGATTTTGCTACAAGATTTGCGTTATAAAATAGAACTATATCAAACAATCGGAAATGACATATTTGATCTTTTGCAATGAATAGGACAATCTTCTGTGCAGATACAAAACAGATCAAAGTAATGAATGAGACACATTCAATATTTTACATTTTTTTTTATAAAAAGATTGTAAAAAATTTTAATTGCAGAATTGTGAAAATAGTATTCAATACTTAGCCAAAGAACATCAAATAACAAACCACATTTTCAATACATTGCAATTGCTGTTTCTATACTTTGCAATTGTGAATCAGGTCCGAGACTTTGCCACTGCATGTATCATTTCTGAAGCAATCACTAGAGTCCAGGATTGAAAATTGAAATTTTTCATATTTGATAGCATTTGTATTGGCCATATGTTCACCTAACTTTTTTTTATTTTTCAAAAAATGATTTCAGCGATTTAAAGTTACCATTTCATACTTACCTAATTACAAGAGGAGAAATAAGATTTGGGTTTCGGACATCCCTGAAATAAAGTAGGAATGGATTTTGAATATCAATGAAAAGAGGTGGAAGACCACTTGTACTGGTGACTATAGAAATGTCTGCACAGTTCCTGAATGTTTCTGCCTTACCGCAACCAACTGCTTCTGTTCCATTTTCACAGGTACCCCACATGTTGCCTAATACAAACAAAGTCAGTAATTTTGTTAACTGTTTCCAGATTTTGAATTAAATTTCATTTTAAGAGTATGGACAAATATTCTATGTTAGCAACTGTATTAATAATAATAATAACTGATATCCACAATAAATATATAAATTTAAGCAGAAGAAGAGGTAATAAGCTGTAATAGGAAAATAATTTCAAACATAAAAAATGTAGAGGGGATGAAGATTAGACATTTCAAAAAAAAAAGAAAACACATCAGTTATGTTATTATTATGTATTTATTGTTTGTTATTGATTAAAGTTGGAGCCTTAAAGAAGACAAGCGAAATGGATGAAAACATTACTAATAAGAATTAATATCACATCATTTAGGAAATGATTCATCATAAAATTAATAATCAATATTTATGTTCTTATGAAATGAAACTTTTTTTATCAAATTTAGCTCTAAATATTTCAACTCTTTGTAAAAACAAATACTTGAACATGAGAAAAATGTTTATTTGCAAAACAGCTTTTCTTCTTACTCTCATGTATTCCATTAAAGTCTGAGCCCTGGTGACTAAACATTTAGGTCAAATCCAGGCTACCGAAATATAGTTTTTTATATGTTTAGAAGATAAAATTTCCTGCAATCATTCATCAGAAGCCATTATCAGTAATGTTAAATGGCAGGAATCAAGAGAAAGACTTGAAATGACTTTGAAGGAGTCTATGTTGGAAGTTACTCTGACTTAAAATATGACCTGGCTGAGGATTAAGAAGTAGGATACACATATCCGAAAAAAGTAGTCCAGTCTCTGCCTCTCAAGTTATAAGAATAAGAGAGAGAAATTATCATTATTTAAAAAAGTTTGAAAGATAGAATAATTTTCTGAGTCAAAATCGGCCATTATTTTTTATGGATTTGATATAATAGTGTGCTTGATACTCACTTTGTTATAGGATGGGCAGAAACTTAGTAAAAACATCAAATTAATTAATTAAAAATACTTTGAAAGTTTAAAATATTTATAATTAAGTGTTTATCATTAAAATTACCTGTATAGTAAGTCCACTGAAGAACACACTGAGAACAAGTTAAGTATGGTGGGAGTCTGACTTTGTAGCGAAATATAGCTTTTTTCTTTGTCTCTTCAGGAATCAGAAATCTTACATCTCTTGTACCAGATATAAACAAAGGAAATCTATAAAAAAAATTAAGTGACACTGTAAGGTTTAGTATTTGTGTAATGCATGAAGTGTACAATTAGTAATTAAACTGTCAAACATGAAATTGTAAGACCATCAATTGTTTTGGAATAAAAGAAATTCTCCTTCTAAGAAATATCAAATGAAATTTTATATAATGTTTCAATCAAGAATATTATTCATTGTCTAATCATAGCAATGAATTTTCATTAAAAACATATTCTGATTGGCAAATATTTTAAGGAGAATTATCTTTAAACTCTAGGAGAGAATATTTATCTCTTAAATATATCGCTAAATTGAGAGCATCTACCCACCACCCTTTAACTCTTTATTTGTTTGACAAAGAATATGAAAGACACGGGCTTTGAGATATAGAAAATAGATTATTTTAACAAAAAATTTATAAAGCATTAACAAAATTTAACATGGATATGAGTATTAATAGACCCATTCCAGATCTAAAAATATCTGGTTGGAAAAAGATAGACCAAATAGGGAGATGGTCAAAATTTCAAAGACATCAATTTCAATTTCTTCAAAGATTCTAATCAAAATTGATTTTTTTTTTTTTTTTTTTAACTGGCAGAAAAATACAAAAAACTTGATTTCAAATACACTGATGCCTCTGAAATAGAAGATAGTGTAGGCCATTCTAAGAAGAACCAGCTCCTGATTAACCTGCTAGAGGAATGTTCACCAAATAGGTGACAGCCATCATAACTAATGTTTATTTGATAAACAATTCTAAAAATAATTGCTCAGTTGCTGTAACAGACTCATGAGGTGTTCTAATTGCCATCCATTACCCATTCAGAGTAATTTTTTAATTAAAAAAGTAATTAATGTATGGTGGGTAGTAAAAAATAAAGATGTCAGTAGTAGTTCCAGACCATTGCAGTATTTTGAGAAATGAAAAAGTTGTCCACACAGCCCATTTGGCTATAAGTGGAGAAGAAACAGAGATGACGAGATTGGAGATGATATCTTAAAACAGGGATCTCCAAATTAGAGCTGGCGGAAGTTTCATCGATGACATGATGCAATTTTAAAAACTATTTGAAAAATATGAAATTTAGATAATCATTCAAACACGAGATTACTACAACAGTTATTGCATGAATTGTTTCTCTTAGAAGCAAAATATTTTCATCACATCTTGACCCGCAGGACTTAGTGGAGGTTTCAATGCAGCCCAGGGACCTAAAAGTTTGGAGACTCCAGCCTTAAAAGTCTGGGCACACCGAGCAAAGAAAAAGAGGTTAGCAGATTTGAAGAAAGAATGTAAAAGGTAAGAATGTAAACTAACAAAAGTAAATCCTAATTGTAGTAAATAGCCCACTAGCTTCAGGATGTTGGGGAGGGAAGAAGTTAAGCTGTCCTGAGTTTGGACTGGACACTGTCTGATTACACTTGGCTACCAACTATTAGATCTCGAAGTGCCCACTTGTGAATAATGCAACAATATACTTCTACAGTGAAACATCTACTATAAAAATGCGCTCAATTTGAAAAAGGTAGAACAGAAAAAAATAGGCCTATCTGAACCATTAAGAGAAATTCTGTATGATAATTAAGAGCAAGTCTCTACTCTGTTTATATTCTTAAAGATTACAAAGTACTACAAGAGAATCTAAATTATAGACAAACGCCTTTAGGGTAGAAGCAGAAAAGAGAGAGAAAAAATTTAAAATTTTTATGTATTAAATAAAAAGGAAACAGCTCTTCAACATGCCCAGACAAAGTCTGCTATTTTCTAGCTAAAAACTGCAGTATTGAAGATTATAACAAACAAAGATAGTGTCGCAATAACTTAAATTCGATTTTCTATTTCCTAATTTTTTTTTAGAAGCTTCTTTACTATCCTATTGGAGCTATGGGGTCACTCTCTTATAACTAACCCCTTCAGATAAAACTAAAAAGTGGAGCAGTTTCTTTATTATTTTTAATTTTTGTTAACATGCGTCTCAATGATATACAATAAAAATATAAATAAAAACGTCATCAAACTCATTGTTTAAAATGTTTTTCCTTTGAAAGTTTTAATTTGTTTTTTCATTGTTTATGAGTATTTCATGAAAGATCAACACGAAGGAAGTTAATTCTTTAAGCTTATTTATAGCATACATAAAAGAAAAGCAGTTTCCATATTCGAGATTTCCCGATCAAAAAATTTAACGATTATATGTAATCACGAATTTTAGAAACTGGTTGTTTCTCCTTTAGATTGGAAATGATGTTTATTCAATTTGGTCAGTAAATGATTACTAAATGTTATGATTATAATATTTAAATCATGTTTCTGTTTACAAAATAGAAATAAGGTCATATTCTAAGTAAACAATTTCAGTTTAGAGATAGTATATTTTAAAAGTAAAATATCCCAAACCTGTCTAAACAGCTCTGTGTAGCTTCATATTTAGGATTGTTGTTCGGACAGATAAACATTTCAAACCTTCCCCAATGGTTGGCTGTTAGTTCCACTTCCACATCTATCTCCTGTATAACATTTTAATTCTATTAAATAAAAATTGTGCATAATTAATCAGAGAGGTGGATACTATAAAGTAGATTCGTAAATTTTTACCAAATCTAATTTATATTATTTAAAAAGAATTCTTAGCTTTATAAAAGCGAGCGTCATCGCTTGATTTTAAAAATAGTTAAATTTATTCATAATGCAGTGCAGGGAGTGCTGGCCTTAGGGTGGAGCAACCGGAGCAATTGTCCAATTTTCAATCATCCAATCATTACCGGCCAATCTTCAAGGGTGCTTGCTACTTGTTAGAAATTAAAAAAAAAAAAAAATACCAAAGAGAAATATGGAATGGAATAAATTTCAAATATTACATAATATTTGCATAACATCGCTTAAAAAATAAATTAATTTTTTTATGGGGGGAGGAGATGACATCATTGCCCAGGGGTGCCAAATGTTTAAGGCCGGCACTGCATGCAGGACAAAAATAAAATAGAAAAACTTTGTTTTTGTATTTTCATAAAAAAGTATATATATTTTTTATTTATTTTTAATTCCTATTTGTAGTTGAAAATATTGGTAATTTATTTAAATAGAATTAACAGCGTTACATCATAACCTAGTTTAAAACTTATAAAGGAATAATGTTTTTGAATACTGAAGTTTACCTGACCAACGCTATACCTCCTTCCAATAACACCCTTCGCAAATTGTCCTCCTGCTTCATGAGGCCTCGGTGTTTCCAGATTGTAAGCATCACCACAAACACCACAGTTACCTTTATTCTGTTCCCACTGCACTACAACAAAAATCACTTGGATATCAAATATCAATTGCTAGTATCTTTCACTTATTTAGATTTAGCTGAAAATATCCTGATAGATAAGAAGGACTGTTTTCATATTCACAAAAAAATCTATATTTTAAAAATTATTAATTTTTTTTTTGTGAAATAAAAAAGAAAACATGAAGGAAACCACTATGGATTTAATTTCAGAAGCTTGTTGAACACAATCACCCTGGATATCATAAGAATTCATTGGAGTCTTTTGAAGAGTCCAGCACTGAATATACTTGAGTTATACCCTGAATAAAAGCTAATGACACATCTGTGGCATCAACAAGAATTCCATCTCTGTTTCAGGTAGGATAAAAATAAAAAATTACTATTTCAACGTTAATTTCTTTTTTTTTTATTTTTAGTATGAAATACTTATATGTATTTGGGTTGGGAAGTTAGTTAGGGGTAGGAATCCATGAGAAAACAGAAATAAAATAGATAAATACAACAACATTGTAATGCTGCTCAACGATGTTGAGTTACTAAATAACACAGCATACTCACCACTCAATAGATAATACTGTAAAAAAAAATATATAAGAGAGAGTTAGGTCTGACCATTGGAAAACAAATCAGATATGCCAAGAATGGTTTGTAGAATCAAAAAGGTGGAGGCCTAGATCAATATATGTGGTGATGGAGAGTTTCCAATGAGTCTAAAATAATAGTTTATACCATGGTCTGCATCTGCTCCCTTCCAACACCGAGGCTCTGCAAGAAATTACTTGTATTAAGAGGGATGAATAAAATTCATTTCTGTACTTTTCCTTCAGTTAAGATATACATTTTGTATAAATGTCCTCTTTCTCTGCCTGTACATTGAAGTCCTGATCCTGATCATTGGTTTCGAATAATAAAATAAAAATTTATTTTATTTTGTCCCGATGTTTCAGGCTGAGAAAAGACAAGATAACAACCAAAAAATTATTAAACAACTGTTGTGAAAACTTTTTTTTTTCTGTTGGTATCTCTGCCTTTCTTGGGCTATTTCTTTCCATTTATCTGCACACAGCTCTATTTTATCTTTGTTGATTCTATCTATCCTTTTTATATGTTGTAAAAAGATGAGAATAAAATATATGTTATCTGCTGATAAATAAATTCTAAGTAGTGAATAAAAATTCAAATATATGATTATTTTATAGAATGGTAAGGTATGAAAATATAAATATAAAATAATGCATATAATATATGTGTGCATTTTTTATCCTTATGTTTATTTATTTTAGATGATTTGCTTTTATACTTTGCTGATGGTAATAATTTTGAAGTTTACATGACAGAATTAATAATTTGTTACAAAAATCCTAGAGCATGAACACAACCATTAATTCCAACTCTCATAATTAATCCTATAAGAATGTTTTTGTTCCTTCTATTCACCTAAATGTTTATTTTGACTAAGCCTTTAATTCCTTGTGAGATAAGTTGGCTTTATTGTGCTCATTTAAATTTTTATAAAACATATGTGCAATTCCAGAGAATTTTTTTTTATTCGCAGTCTTTTGAAGCATTACTGGAAAAATGGTTTTAGCCCAAAGACAGTCGCTGAAGAACTTTGTGCGATAGAAGAAGTCGGTAATCCGTCGAAATACTGCTGCACTTCGGTTCAGGTGTTCCAACAAATAAAATATGAGCCTTGCAGATGAACACAGATCGAGTCACCCATCGGGCATTGATGTTATGTTCTTGTTGAATGTCTGAACCAGTACCCACATGCAATTACTCATGATTAATCAACTGTAGTAGGAGCTTTTAATGCCACAGTAGATTACATCTTAAAATTCGAGCATACTTAACAGAGGCACAAGCCTGAGGGCTGGCTGACTGTACAGAACCACATGTTGCCTGGAAGTCTTATAACCGAAGTTATAGAAGATAAAATAATTTTGAGTTCACATTCCGGTGCCAGGGAGAAGGAGGAAGGGAGACTTCTAACTCAGGAATTAATCTCCCGCCCTCATCCTCTGACCCGAGAAAACCCCATATGTTTACAAAAGTTTGCTATAAAATCCGAAAGATGACATGTTATTGAAAAAAAATTATCACTAGTGATGAAAATGGATGTTTTTAAAAACCCTAGCAAACATAAATGGTCAACAAACAAATGGTCTGGTGAAGCTACACAAATGGAGGTTCGCCAAGATCGGTTTGGGAAAAAAATGATGTTTTGTGTTTGGTGGAACTTTGAGAGAGTTTTGCATTTTTACTTGTTTCTGATGGTGGGCAGTCGACTCAAACCTATACTGTAAACAGTTAGACAGAGTTTATGCAGTTTCGAGTACCCCGCTTTGGTCAACAGAAACCAAGCCATTTTGTAACACTGCTCCTGTATATTGTTTTAGTTTGACCAAAGAAAATTTATTGTAATTACAAGCAGTAAACATTTTGCCTCATTCTATGCATAGATCAGATATTGCACCATCAGATTATGGTTTGTTTAGATCAATGGCAAACTTTTTAAAAGATCAAACAGTTGATAATTACAAGGACCTAGAAATGGGATGTGACAAGTTCTTTGCCTCAAAACCAAAGGAGTGGTACTGGCATCAAATCCAATTACTGGCAGTAAGATGGGTGAAAGTAGTTGAAAACAATGGACTTCACTTTGAAGAACAGTATACTCATTCAATAATCTTTAAAATATGAAATAAAGCTGTACTTATGCTCAAGGACTTTTGTAACCATCTAATATTTTTACTATATTAAACTTTTGACAAGATTCAAAAAGACATTTTAAATTATTTCGGTATGATGAAATAACTTGATCTACTCATTGGCTTATTATTATTTTTTTCATTATGCTTTCTGTCCATTCCTTAAGTATTGTAATAATGTTTCTATTGTACCTGAATTTTATCGTTGTCTACATTCTAAATGATGATCTGATTTCATTTATTTCACTGTAAAATACAATTTTTTTTGGTACACTCTCCTTTCATATATTATTTTTATTTACATAATTTTGTTTTTGCAAGTTTCTTAATTTTACTTTAATGCTAAATAATAAATATTATTTATAAATTTTAAAATACATTGTACATATCAGAAAAAAAAAATGAAGGAACCTGAGTATCCTCCGCAGTAGAGCTCATTGTCGTTATAGTTGACAGGTGTTGGGAAACCAAACCTCCACATACTGTTCCTTGCTGGGGGGTCCATGAGTCTACCATGACTCTCTGTTTGGTCGATCACCTAAAAGGATAATTTTGTTAGTGTCACTTATCTCATTTAAAGAAAATGTGGATATTATTCTTATCCAAATCTAGGAAAACATAAAAAACTGAAAATTAGAACCAGTTATATAACTCTTCATATGTTATATGAGAGATTAAAAAAAGACTCCAGGGACATATTGTACTGGTCTGTTTCTAAGAGAATTAGTTCAAGAACAATTTAAAATTTTCCAAAATAAAAATAATCATTTTTGTATCAAATTTTAAAATAACTTGCCCTAAAAGCAAACCAAAATCTTTCAGGGGTTATTGCTATATAATTTGTTTATGCTTAACCCTCTGCTACATCCTGGCAATCATTAATTTTCATTAATATCAGAAAACTTTTTTTTTTTTTACTTTTTGGAGTCAAATTTTTTATCTGTGACCCATCCATTACAAAAAGAGAAAGTTCACACTTTTTTTTTTTTTTCTTTTTCTGATTTGTTCAGTGTTTAATAGTAAATAAAAGAAAAAGCCATATTTAATAAGCTTGGTGACTGGAGTTGCTAATGAATTTTTTAACAAAATGTAAATATGAATATTTAGTATTTTACCCAGCCCTGCTCTATTAAAAAATCAACTACCAATCAGCTATTCTGGCATATCACATTAGGTTCAAGTATCACCCTCCTAAGTGTTATAGCTGCAAATCTACTCATATTTGCATTCTCTTATGAGCGTGTAAAAATTATCTGTTAATAAGTTGAAAACTGTCTGTTACTGGTACAGTATTTATTACTGGGTACAGTAGTAACCTGTCTGGGTACATTTACCTGAGTGGTTTTTTTTTTTGGGAGGGGGAGAGAGGAGGGGAGAATTCATCTAACAAGGTTTTTTATTATTTTCAAATCAACTATATTAAACATAACTCCACCCTCACCATTATTATAGAATGTTATTATTGTAAAAGGAAGTTAGTTGACTGTTCTGCAGTCATAGTTGATAAACAATCAGGACGCAGTCATTTTAAGATTTTTATTGTTGCCAATGTTTCAACCTAATTGGATCATTATCAGGGAATGTCTCCAGTATTGGATATATGCCCTGATGATGACGCATATGCTTGGGTTGAAAACAATAAAAATCTTAAAATCACTGTTTCCTGATTATTTATCAACTATGTTATTTTATGTGTGTGTATATATATATATATATATATATATATATATATATATATATATATATTATTTATTTTATTTTATTTTATATTTTATTTATATTAATATTTACTGTATTATTTTTTAACAAATGTTATTTCTAAACTTGTCATTAATATTTACTGTAAACTACTCGTTATGTTATTCTGTATAAATTATTTGACAATGCAAATCTAATTTATTTATTACTAAAAATAATTTGACCTCAAGTGTCATTGCTGAGAATTCATTTTAATATGTAATAAAGGAATTCTTCTTTTTTCTGGGAAGTTGTATGATATTCTTTGTTATTTGGCAATGATTACTTCCAATCAAATTGCATGTTTACAAGTTAACGTTTCGGGATATTTACTTCCATCTTCAGAACCATAATCCCAATGATCTTGTGGATAAATGGCTAAAAAATTGAGTCAAAATATAGTGCATGTTACAATACATGTCAGAATTGGGTTGTTACATTAAATTAGTAATTACCTTAAATCTAATGTGCTCCATCGTCAGGTTCTAATTCAAGTTATAATAAATCAAGGTATATAACATCCAGAGCAACATCTTGCTTTTAGAATAATTTTTGGGTGTCTGCCATAGTGAATACAATTGATCTTTGGATATTAAACATATTAAACAAAATTAAAATTTAATAAAAATGAAATTGCAGATACATAAAAAATAAACAGTCATATCCAAAGGTCAATTGTATTCACTATGGCAGACACCCAATAATTAGTCTAAAAGCAAGATGTTGCTCTAGATGTTATATACCTTGATTTGTTATAACTTGAATTAGAACCTGGAGCACATTAGATTTAAGGTAATTACAAATTTAATGTAACAACCCAATTCTGACATGTATTGTAACATGCACTATATTTTAACTCAATTTTTTAGCCATTTATCCACTAGATCATTGGGATGTGGTTCTTAAGATGGGAGTAAATATCCCGAAACGTTAACTTGTAGACATTCAATTTGATAATACAACAAATAAATTCAATTGTTATTAATTGGAAGTAATCATTGCCAAATAACAGAAAAAAAAGTAATAAAGGAAGATATTGTGATCATGAATAATTTCAAATCCGAATTTCATTCATTCAAATTCAATTTCATATTCATTCAAATTCATATTACTACATCAACTTTTTTTGTGAAATCGACTTACATCATCAGGGTAAAATTAAATGGTTATAAACATCAGTTAGGTCTTATCCTCTTTACAATAGTATGACATTGCTTGAATTACAAAATATCAAAATTTCTTTATCTAAACTATATTTTTTTAAATCGAAATTTATTAACAATCTCTCATTGTTACTAGTTTAAACTATGAAAGAATTTATTAATTACCTAAAGGAGAAGAAAAAGAAAAATATTTTTCCAGGTTAAAAAAAAATTGTTCCAAAACATCTGATGGAATCTCGTTGAATAATTTTGGCCATAAAAGTTAGAAATAAGTCCAGTCATACGCTTGAAATAATCGTTACATACAAAAGGTCAGCCTAAACAGTTACTCCCCTTATTACTTTGCTTGTTGTGGAGGAATTAATAACAAGCTGTTGTATCTTAATATAACAGTGGTTATATTATTTAGAATAATTTAAATTCCTTAAAAACCAAACCATGATGCCAGAACCTTTTTGTCGGTGGGAGGGGAGGAGGGAAATCATGAAACCTTAAATAGTTCTATTAAGCATTAGCAGACCAAGGATTTAATTTTTGTGGGGAGATGGCTTCAGCCCGAAATGTTTATATATATATATATATATATATTTTTTTTTTTTTATCGCGCTACAGACCGTGCAGATCTCTGACCGCGAGTGGTCTCCTAGACCACATCCCGATTCCTGATTTAAGTACACGGGGGTATAGGGTCATCAGTTCTACGCCCGGTCGGTGTGAGTTGCCTCCAGTAGGCTGACGGGTCTCACATACCCGGGGGAGGGATCGGGCTCGGGCAGCGTGGCTTTCCCTGGTGGACGGCCACCCAAATCGGGCGTTGCTTAACTTGGTTACCTATTAATATATACATTATATATATATATATATATATATATATATATATATATATATATATATAACGGTAAAGGGCTTCAACCTGAAAGCCCCCCTTCTCCCGTTGATCTGCCTGTGCTATTATGTGAAAGATTGAAAAGTTTAAATTACTTAATCTTTCACGAATCTATCTGTTGCTCCCTAATGGCATCTACCTTATACACACGATGAAATCAAATTTATTGTATCATAGCTGAATGCTACTAAGAAATTATTCATATACTTGACCTTTCCAAATTTTCCAGAACTACTATCTGAATAACAGCCATTAGCTACAAAATGTTATTCCATAATTATAATTGGACTTGTAAATCAGAAAAAGTTCCATATCTTAACATTGGCAGCACGCAACCCAATCTCGATGGATGGGGTTCTGACCCAGCCTTGGCATTTAGTTACGTGGGCTACCGAAAATGTTCCCGGTTATTTAGAATGCATTTATTGAAATATTAATTGAACCTCTCAAACTTGAAATGTTATTTAACCTATTAAGTACAGTAATTTATTTTTAAATCGCAAGGTCATGATATTAATATTGTGTTATTGAAATCATTATGAAAGCTGATGACTTTGTTAGGTTATTTCTCAAAACGTTTCTAAGAATATATTTTTATTAAATGAGTCATAAAACTGATTACTTTAGAATTAATAAAGATGTTGGCGAATAAAAAAAAAAGAATAAGAAATTGAATAGGGACTGAACACAACATGGCATCCGTCAAAAAAGATTGATTGAGAACGGTTGATACGCTTTTACTGCTTAACATGTCTGAGTCAGCACAGAGAAGAGACGAAGATCTGAAGAACTTGGAAGCTGTGAATAGATGATGTCTAGAAGGATATGACTGCTAGAGGTCTGACAGAATATGATTGGGCTGATAGAGATTGTTGCTGGGCACGAGTATTGAGATTTGGTATGTGACACAGTTATTGAAACAATCTCCTCACCTCCTAAAAAAAAAAAAGTAACAACTTGATTGTTACTTTTGACGGAATCACCGCACAAGTGTCGCTGCAACATGATTGATAGACATAAGAACACATGTTCGAACCAGGGAAAAAAATCAGAAAATGGTTGAGTGTTGACATGGTTTTCAGGAGCGTAAACTTTCTTTATTTATATAGCGATTTACAATTTCCACAGACTTCCAACCGGTCCTTTTTAATTAAAATCGGGTCCTTAATTAGCTTCAATGGGATCGCGTCTTTCGAGTTCCACTCGCCCTGCTCGTACAAAAGGGGATAAAGAAACCCTCAACAGGTCCTTTTTTTTGTTAGGTTACCTCCGTCAAATTGTACCCATTTGGGCATTTTGGGATTCTGTGTACAGTGTCACGGACGGATCTACGGAGGGAAGGGGAAGGAGGGGGGCTTTCGGGCTGAAGCCTCCCCCAAAACGGTAAAATATAATCTTGTTTTATGAAAAAATTATCTCTAAAAGTATTATTGTTCGTCTAATTACAGTTCATAGGACTTAGGGGGCGGGGTGGCCGAATGGGCTAAAGCGTGTGCACAGCTCCGCGAGTTGCCTGGCAAACGGTTTACAGATTTGAGAAGATTTAAAAAGTACGAGTTCGCGTTCCGGTGCTGGAGGGGATTTTAAATTCCCCGCCCTCGTCCCCCGGCCCGGGAAAATTCCGTATAGCCTAAAAGGCGAGGTAGGGAAGAACAAAAAAAAAAAAAAAGAAAAAGTTAATAGGACTTAAATAATCACTTAAAGACTATTTCATATAGGTAGTTAGTTTCTTTCTTTCTTCCGAAGTAATTA